CGATGACTCTCTGACTCTCTCTCATCGACGTTTCTAACTCTCTATCTCTCTCCCTTCCTCTCTGTACAAAATCAATAAAATATATATATTTTTTTTTTAAAAAAGAAATTGGGGACACACACACACACACACACACACACACACACACACAAATAAATTGAAAGATATCCTGTATTCAGAGACTGAAAGAATTAATATTGTTAAAATATCCATACTACCCAAAGCCATCTATATATTCAATGCAATCCCTATCAAAATTCCAATTGTGTTTTTCACATCCTAAAATTTATATGGAACCACGGAAGACTCTGAATAGTCAAAGTCATCTTGAAAAAGAAGAATGAAGCTGGCCCTAGCCAGTTTGGCTCAGTGGGTAGAGTGTTGGCCTGCAGATTGAAAGGTTACAAGTTTGATTCTGGTCAATGGCACATGACTAAGTAGCAGGCTCAATCGCCAGGAGAGGGCCTTATATAAGGCCTGAAATTTTATTATTATTTTTTTAATATATTTTATTAATTTTGTACAGAGAGGAAGGGAGAGAGATAGAAAGCTAGAAACATCGATGAGAGAGAGTCATCGATCAGCTGCCTCTTGCACACCCCCCACTGGGGATATGCCCGCAACCAAGGTACATGCCCTTGACCGGAATCGAACCCGGGTCCCTTCAGTCCCCAAGCCGACGCTCTATCCATTGAGCCAAACCGGTCTTGGCAAGGCCTGAAATTTTAAAACTCCTAGAAGAAAATGGGAAAAGCTTCTTGACCTTTATCTTGGAAATGTTTTTGTTTTTTTTTAACGTAACAGCAAAAGCACAAGCAATAAAAGCAAAATTAAACAAGCAGGGCTACATAAACCTAAAAAGCTTCTGCAGCTGAAACTGGTTTGGCTCAGAGGATAGAGCGTAGTCCTGCGGACTGAAGGGTTCCGGGTTCGATTCTGGTCAGGGTCATGTACCATGGTTGCGGGCACGTCCCCAGTGGGGGTTGTGCAGGAGGCAGCTGATCGATGATTCTCTCTCATCGATGTTTCTAACTCTCTATCCCTCTCTCTTCCTCTCTGTGAAAAATCAATAAAATATATATTTAAAAAAAAAAAAAAAAGCTCTGCAGAGCAAAGAAACAATCAACAAAATAAAAAAATAACATATAAAATAGGAGAAAATATTTGCAAACCATATACTATCTGATAAGGGGTTATAGTAAAAATATACAAGGAACTCATACAACTCAACAGTAAATAACAGCCCTAGCTGGTCTGCCTCAGTGGATAGAGTGTCAGCTTACAGACTAAAGGGTCCCAGATTTGATGACAGTTAAGGGCATAAGCCCAGGTTGCGGTTCGATCTCCAGTAGGGAGGGTGCAGGAGGCAGCCCATCAATGACTCTCTCTCATCAATGTTTCTAACTCTCTATATCTCGCCCTTCCTCTCTGTAAAAAATCAATAAAAATGTATTTTTTAACAATAAAAATAAATATTTTTTTAAAAAGAAAAATATCATTGGGTGAGGATTAAAACATAAATAAAGCCCTAGCTGCAGACCAAAGGGGCTTGTGTTCGATTCTGGTCAAGGGCATGTACTTGGATTGCCGGCTCCTCCTCCAGCCCTGGTCAAGGTGAGTGCTTCTCTCATATGGATGTTTCTCTGTTTTTCCCTCTCTCTTCCACTCTCCCTAAGTCAATGGAAATACATCCTTGGATACAGATTTTAAAAAATAAATTGATAAGTAATAAAAATGTTTTAAAATATATACATATATATACATCCTTTTTTTAAAATTATAACAAGTAAATAAATAAATAAATATTAAAAAAGAGAATAATCTCATTTTAATAAATGCATGGGTTGAAAATCTCTAATTGTTATTACTAACTGACAAGATGATATTTACCAAAATAGCTTTCACCAAACAATTTATTCACTAAGAAAAGAATCACTTTTCCGATTTTCTCACTCGTTAGATCTATGTGCACTGCTCGAAGCTTCAAACCAAAATGAGCTCAGCTTTGAAAATCTTTTCCTCCAGATGTAGACTTGTTTCTTTGTAATTATATATCTCACTATACAGTGCGCGCTATGTTCGAAAACCGACCTTTCTTCCACAAACTCCCCTTATCGCTCTTTCCAATGGCGTCGCGAAGTGCTCGGACCGTTGTGAGCACGCATCTCACGTTCTCGTCCGACACAAAACCCGCTGACATTTCTTGTATATATCTTAGTAATTTTACGATATTTTGATTTAATTTCTTGTGCCATTTCAAGATAAAACTTCAGGGAAACATGCATGGCTCAAAAAGTTGCATTGAAATAACTCAATTCCCTGTAATCACTAATAAACTGCAATGTCCCCTGAGAGGGGACATCCGAGTGATATGCTAGAATTCCGATGTCCCCTGAGCGGGGACAGCGGAGTGCAAAGGGTTAAAATATATACTTTTAAAAACTACAATGAAATACAACTGTTAAAATGGCCATTATCAAAAAGACAAGAGTGAACAAAAGTCTGCCGAAACCGGTTTGGCTCAGCGGTAGAGCGTCGGTCTGCGGACTGAAGGGTCCCAGGTTCGAATCCGGTCAAGGGCATGTACCTTGGTTGCGGACACATTCCCAGTAGGGGGTGTGCAAGAGGCAGCTGATCGATGATTCTCTCTCATCGATGTTTCTAACTCTCTATTCCTCTCTCTTCCTCTCTGTGAAAAATCAATAAAATATATTTAAAAAAAAAAAAAAGAGTGAACAAAAGTGAACCCTTGCACTGTTGTGGGAATGTAAACTAGTACAGCCTCTATGGAAAACAGTATGGAAGCTCCTTAAAAAATTAAAAATATGCTGAGATCGGTTTGGTTCAGTGAATAGAGCGTCGGCTTGGGGACCGAGGGGTCCCGGGTTCAATTCCGGTCAGGGGCATGTACCTTGGTTGCGGGCACATCCCCAGTAAGGGGTGTGCAGGAGGCAGCTGATGAATGACTCTCTCATCGATGTTTCTGACTATCTCTCTCCCTTCCTCTCTGTACAAAATCAATAAAATATTTTTTTTTTAATTTAAAAATATAACTACCATATGATCAGCAATCCCTCTTCTGGATATATATATATATATATATATATATACACTAAAGAAAATAAAATCACTATCTCAAAGAAATATCTGTATCCCCACCACAGCCAGGTAGGTGACCATGTCAACATTAACAGTCATAAATCATGTTGATAAATTGTGCCCTTGATATAATATGATGAAAATGACAATTCACCTCTGTGGTCTTCCTACCAAAAACCTACTGCAGCATTAATTACAGTAGTCAAGACATGGAAACAACCAAAGTGCCTATCAACAAATGAATGATAAAGAAAAATTGGTAAACACACACAATGGAATACTATTCAGCCATTAAAAAAGGAAGCCCTGCGCTGAAACTGGTTTGGCTGAGTGGTAGAGCTTCGGTCTGCGGACTGAAAGGTCCCAGGTTCTATTCCAGTCAAAGGCATGTACATTGTTTGCAAGCACATCCCCAGTAGGGGGTGTGCAAGAGGCAGCTGGTCAATATTTCTCTCTCATCGATGTTTCTAGCTCTCTATCCCTCTCCCTTCTTCTCTGTAAAAAAAAAAAAAAAAATCAATAAAATATATATTTTTAAAAATAAATAAATAAATAAATAAAAATTAAAAAGGAAGCCCTGGCCAAAACCGGTTTGGCTCAGTGGTAGAGCGTCGGTCTGCAGACTGAAAGGTCCCAGGTTCGATTCCGGTCAAGGACATGTACATTGGTTGCGGGCACATCCCCGGTAGGGGGTGTGCAAGAGGCAGCTGGTCGATGTTTCTCTCTCATCGACGTTTCTAACTCTCTATCCCTCTCTCCTCCTCTCTGTAAAAAATCAATAAAATATATTTAAAAAAAAAAAAAAAAAAAAAGGAAGCCCTGCCACTGTGACAACATAGAAGAACCCTGAGGGCATTATGCTAAATGGAATAAGTCAGACAGAGAAAGACAAATACTGTATGAACTCACTTATATGCAGAATTTTAAAAAACTGAAATCATAGAGAGAGCAGACTGATGGTTGATGGGGAAGGGTGAATAGGTGAAAATGTCAAAGGATACAAATTTCCAATTATAAGATGAATAGTTCTGGGGATGTAATGTACAGCATGGTGACTATAGTCAACAATACTGTACTACATACTTGAGAGTAGCTAAAACAGTAGATCTTGAAAGTTCTCACCACAAAGAAAAAGAAAAGTGATGGATATGTTAACTCACCTTATTGTGATAATCATTTAACAATATACTTGTATATCAAATGATCATGTTATACACTTTAAACTTATATAATGTAAATTGTATCTCATAAATTAATAAAACTGAAAATTTTTCATTTTTTTTTCAAATGGTCTAGTCGACAATAAATTAAATATTCCAATGAAGTACTCTTCAACAGCAAACTTGTTAATGGTTAAAATAGTTAACTTTATGTTACATGTATATTATCACAATAAAAAAAGAGTATATGGCCGGCACCGGTTTGGCTCAGTGGATAGAGTGTCAGCCTGCGGACTAAAAGGTCCCGGGTTCGATTCCGGGCAAGGGCATGTACCTTGGTTGCGGGCACATCCCCAGTGGGGAGTGTGCAAGAGGCAGCTAGAGATGATGATTCTATCTCATCGATGTTTCTAACTCTCTATCCCTCTCTCTTCCTCTCTGTGAAAAATCAATAAAATATATTTAAAAAAGAGTATATGGAGAGATTATATCATTTCACAACATTACACAGTTTCACTGAATCCTTGTCAGTACTGGCAAGTGCTTCACTTTACACTACTTGTGACAGACTATGCATAAACAACATTATTACATAAAAATTAACCATGTAGTGCCAAGGATATATGAGAACAAAATGTTATCAGAATTCCTGACTACCTCAAAAAGTCTATTTCAGATTTTTTTTAAAAAACCATCGTTTTGTTTTTATTGTTTTGTATATTGTTAGCCTTTATCTGTTACCTTTGACAATCAAGACACAGTGTGGTCATACAGGCAGGGCAGTTCAGGACAGCATCGCTATTTGGAACAGGCTGTGGTTGTGGGCGTGGCCTCTGTGTTCCAAAACCGTGGTATCTTGAAAAGAGAAAGAAAGCAGGGGGAAGAGATATTAAAACCAGAACTTGATTTCTAATGCAACTCTCCAATGAAACAATCAGTAATCCTCAGAAAACTGGTTAATTCTAGGAATGGGGCATACAAGATGAACCTGGAGCATCTTGTAGTGCCAGAAAGGAAGGAAGTGCTAAGAAGAAGAAAAAGAAAAACCTGCCCAGCTGGCTTGGTTCAGTGGCTGAGAGTCAATCTATGAACCAGAAGATCGTGGTTTGATTCCTACTCAGGGCATATGCCTGGGTTTTGGACTCAATCCCTAGTGTGGGACATGCAGGAGGCAGAACATCAAGGAGTCTCTCTCATCATTGATGTTTCTATCCCTCTCTCCCTCACCCTTCCTCTCTGAAATCGATAAAAATATATTCAAAAAAGAAAAAGAAAAACACAATGCAGTAGGTATGTCAAAGGGACACAGGAGTCAACTGAAAGCATTTCCAATGGCCAAAACTAAAGCAATTAGCCGAGACCGGTTTGGCTCAATGGATAGAGCGTCAGCTTGGGAACTGAAGGGTCCCGGGTTCGATTCCGGTCAAGGGCATATACGTTGGTTGCGAGCATATCCCCAGTAGGGGGTGTGCAAGAGACAGCTGACCGATGACTCTCTCTCATCGATGTGTCTAACTCTCTATCCCTCTCCCTTCCTCTTCCTCTCTGTACAAAATCAATAAAATATATTTTAAAAATAATTTAAAAAATAAATAAATAAATAAATAAATAAATTCAAAACTAAAGCAATTAGATTTAAAAAAATAAAGTAGTATTGGATTTTAACTCAAAGTATAAGTTCTCCTGAGTCCATGCTGATATAAATGATCCTATCTAATAAAAGAGTAATATGCAAATTGACCATCATACCAAGACACAAGATGGCTGCCCCCATGTGGACAGAAGATGGCCACCACAAGATGGCCTGCAGGAGGGCAGTTGTGGGTGACCAGGCCTGCAGGGAGGGCAGTTAGGGGTGACTGGGCCGGCAGAGGAAGGGAGTTCAGGGGGACCAGGCCTGCAGTGGAGGGCAATTGGGGGGGGGACCCAGGCTTGCAGGGAGAGCAGTTGGCAGGAACAAGGCATGCAGGGGAGGGCAATTGGGGGGGGGGGGCAGGCCTGCAGTGGAGGGCAGTTGGAGGGGGACCAGGCTTGCAGGGGACAGCAGTTGGGGGGGACTAGACCAGCAGGGGAAGGTAGTTGGGGAGGACAATTCCTGGAGGGGAGGACAGTTGGGAGGGACTCAGGCCTGCAGGGGAGGGCAGATGGTGGGGGACCAGGCCGGCAGGGGAAGGCAGTTGGGAGCCAGCAGTCCTGGATTGTGAGAGCTCTAGATTGAAGAGGGTGCAGGCTGGGATGAAGGAACCCCCCATGCCCCGTGAATGAATTTCATGCATCGGGCCTCTAGTTGAATACATAAATGAGGATGAACAGACAAATCTCCCATTAAGAAGAATTACAAATAACTTATTAAGATATTCTCCCCTCATAACTCCCTACTCAAGTTTGGGCTGCACAGTTGACTTCCATCCAAAAACCACAGTATGTAAAGAGGGGGGAAAGGGTACCTTTATAGTAGAGAGAAACCTGAGAAACACTACCCAACCAAGATGATTAATAGTCATAAATCATGATGACAGTATGTTTCCTTGATATGTGACAAAAATGCTACTTTGCTTCTTTGGTCTTCTCCTAAAAAACCTGTATAATCCCTGTCTAATCATGAGAAAAACATGAGGCAAATTCCAATTAGAGAGGCTTCCTACAATATACAATCATGCACCACATAACATTTTGGTCAATGACAGAACACATATACAATGGTGGTTCCATAAGATTATTAAGGAGCTAAAAATTCCTATCACCTAGTGACATCAAAGCCATGGTTAGGTTGTAGTGCAATGTATTACTCAGCAACAAGTTACTGTTTGTGGTTATGCTGATGTAAACAAACCCACCACATTGCCAGTAGTATAAAAGTATAGTGCATACCATTATGTACAGTACATAACAATTGATGATAATAAATAACTATGTTACTGGGCTATATATTTACTATATATACTTTCATCATTTTTTTGAGTGGACTCTTTCTACTTACAAAAATAAAAAATATGCTATAAGACAAATGTGCCTTATGCTGGCTGCAGCTTTATAGATTTTATATTTACCAAGCTTCTTTTTTTTTTACTTTTTCATCAAATTTATTGGGGTGTCATCTATAATAATAAAAGCATAATATGTTTATTAGATCGGATGAAGCCGGGGCTGTGAGGGAAGCCCGGGTCCCGGGTCCCAGGTCCCAGGTCCCAGGTGCTGTTGGCTGGAGGGAAGCCCGGATCCTGGGTGTCAGAGGGAAGCTGGGGCTGGCAGCCAGGGGAAGGAAGGTCTACTCTTGCACAATTTTGTGCATCGGGCCTCTAGTTGGTTACTAAGATTATATAGGTTTCAAATGTACAATTCCATGATACATCAGCTGTATATTGCATTGTGTACCCACCACCCAAAGTCAAATCTTCTTTAACAACATATTTGACCACCTTTACTAGCCCCGCCCCTCTGGTAACCACCACATTGTTGTCTGTGTCTGTGGGTTTTTGTCATTTGTTCATTTGTTTCATGTTACCATGTCTCTTGGTAGCACCCTGCTGGTCACCAAAAATATGCCTCATTAATGTGTGTGCAACATGGAGGTTCAATTTAACTGCAACAGGTTTCCAAATAAAAATCTCCAAAAGAGACTTGCCTTGGAACTCTACCCACCGGAGTCAACAATAAAGACTTGGTTAAGGAACCGAAGAGTCAAATCAAGGAAGCAGAGGCAGCAGCAGCTATCACTAAAGCAACCAAATCAGATTCTTCCAGCCCAGAATGTACCCACCTCACCCGCAGCATCAACCAGTCCTTCTTATTCCCATAGCTCCCTTCCACCTCGGCCTGTAGGCCCTTCCAGTTTGGCATGGGACTCTATCATCACCGAGGGTCCCACAAGTGATGTCCAAAGGCAAGATCCTCAATTGGAAAGGCTGAAGCCCTCAGTTCCTGCTTAGTTCCCTGATACTTATATCATAGAGCAAACCATGGAACTGTACAGTTTTCCTGATGAGGAGGAAATGTCTGACTGTTCTTTCCACTGTCTGTATCAGTATCTCACCCACAGGCCCCAGCAAGAAGAAAAAGGTTCTTAGCATCTTTGCTGATACACAGTTGCTTTGTAATATAGCTTGATATCTGGTATTATGATCCCTCCAACTTTGTTCTTCTTTCTCAGGATTGCTACGGCTATTAAGGGTTTTTTTGTGTGTTTTTTAAATTCCATATAAATTTTTGAAGAGTTTGTTCTAGGTCTGTGAAATATGACACTGGTATTTTAATGGGGATTGCATTGAATCTACAGATTGCTTTGGACAGTATGGACATTTTAATGATGTTGATTCTACCAATTCATGAATACAGTATATTCTTCCACTTGTTTATATCTTCCTCTATCTCTTTTTTCAATGTCCTGTAGTTTTCTAAGTGCAGGTCTTTTACCTCCTTAGTTAAGTTTATTCCTAGATATCTTAATTTTTTTGTTGCAATGGTAAATGGGATTTTTTTTTTTCTTTAGTTTCTCTGTGAGTTCATTATTGTATATAAAAATGTTGTAGATTTCTGGGTATTGATTTTCTATCCTGCTACATTGCCAAATTCATTTATTAAATCTAATCGCTTTTTGATAGAGTCTTTAGGGTTTTTATGTACAATATCATGTCATCTGTGAATGATGACAGTTTTACTTCTTTTTTACCAATTTGGATGCCTTTTAATTCTTCTTGTCTTATCGCTACGGCTAGCACTTCCAATACTACATATCTCATAGCAATGGAAACTAAGGAGAAAATAAACAAATGGAACTACATCAAAATATAAAACTTCTGCATAGCAAAACAAACATCAACAAAATAACAAGAAAGCCCAGTGCATGGGAGAACATATTTGCCAATATGACATCTGATAAAAGTTTAATCTCCAATATTTACAGGGAACTCTTGCAACTTAATTTAAAGGAAGATAAACAATCCAGTCAAAAAATGGGCAAAGCTGCCGAAACCGGTTTGGCTCAGTGGATAGAGCGTCAGCTTGGGGACTGAAAGGGCCCAGGTTCGATTCCAGTCAAGGGCATGTACCTTGGTTGCGGGCATATCCCCAGTAGGGGGTGTGCAGGAGGGAATTGATCGATGACTCTCTCTCATCGATGTTTCTAACTATCTCTCTCCCTTCCTCTCTGTACAAAAATCAATAAAATATATTTAAAAAAAAAAAAAAAAAAATGGGCAAAGCCCCAAAACAGGTTTGGCTCAGTGGATAGAGCATTGGTCTGCGGACTGAAAGGTCCCAGGTTCGATACCGGTCAAGGGCATGTACATTGGTTGCGGGCACATCCCCGGTAGGGGGTGTGCAGGAGGCAGCTGGTCGATGTTTCTCTCTCATCGACATTTCTAGCTCTCTATCCCTTTCCCTTCCTCTCTGTGGAAAATCAATAAAATATATTTTAAAAAAACAAATGGGCAAAGCACCTAAATAGACATTTCTTGAAAGTGGACATATAGACAGACAAGAGACATATGAAATAATGCTCAAAGTCACTAATCATCCAAGAGATGCAAATCAAAATGACAATAAGATGCCATCTCACACCTGTCAGAAGACTATCATCAACAAATCAACAAATGATAAGTGCTGGCAAGGATGTGGAGAAAAGGAACCCTTAAAAACTACTGATAGGAAAGCAGACTGGTGCAGCCACTATGGACTTCCCAAAAAAAAAATTAAAAAGGGAACTCCCATTTGACCCAGTAATCACACTTCCGGGAATATATCCCAAAAACTTAGAAACACCAATCAGAAAGAATATATGCACCCCTATGTTCATAGCAGCACAATTAACAATAGCTAAGATTTGGAAACAGCTTAAGTGCATATCAGCAGATGACTGGTTTAAAAAACTGTGGTACACCTACACAATTGTACTATGGTGCTTACCATTCACAACAGCATGGATGGACCTGAGAGCATTATGCTAAGCGAAATATAAGCCAGTGCCAGTCAGAGAAGGATAAGTATCACATGATCTCACTTATTTTTGGAATACAATGAACACTGTAAACTGATGAACAAAAATTAATCCAAAGACATAGAAACATTGAACACACCATCAAACCTCAGAGGAAAGGTGGGGAGGGGAAGAGGAATGGTAAAAGATCAACCAAAGGATTTGCATGCATACATATAAACAACTTATGGACACAGACAGTAGGGGGTGAGGGCATATGCTGGGGGATGGAGCGGCCAGGGAGAGGACAATAAGGAAAAAAAGACATATGTAATACTTTCAACAATAAAGAATTTAAATTTTTTTTTTAATTATGCTACCCTGACTGGTTTGGCTCAGTGGATAGAGCAGTGGATAGAGGTCCAGATTCGATTCCAGTCAAGTGCATGTACCTTGGTTGCAGGCATATCCCCAGTAGGAGGTGTGCAAGAGGCAGTTTGTTGATGTTTCTCACTCATCAATGTTTCTAACTCTCTACGCCTCTCCCTTCCTCTCTGTAAAAAAATCAATAAAATATATATTTTTAAAATAATAAAATAAAAAATAAAAAAAATTATGCTGAGCCCTAGCCAGTTTGGCTCAGTGGATAGAGCATTGACTATGGACTGAAGGGTCCCTGGTTCCATTTGGTCAAGGGCACGTATCTTTTGTAAGGGAATGTTCAAAGTACTGTCTTACAGTTATAATAACATTTAGCCACTAAAAAAGATTGAAGTGGATAAATGGTCACCTACTATTACTCCACTACTAGTACCACCACCTCCTCTTTCACTATTTAAAGCAAATATGTATATGGGATTTGATTTGAATTAGGCAATGTTCTAAGGACTTCCAGTAGATTATTTAAGGACTTCTAGTAGATTATTTAATCTACTAGAGGCCGGTTACACAAAATATGTGTGTGTGGGGGGGGGGGGGTTCCCTCAGCCCAGCCTGCGCCCTCAGGGGGTGTTCATCTGCCAGGGATCAGGCCTAAACTGGCAGTCGAACATCCTTCTTGCAATCTGGGACGCTGTATGCACCAGTGACCGTACTTTTCATACATATGCAAGGCATCTTGCTGTTGTATGGGCACCTACATTTTTTTGCCCTGATTATAAAAGGATCATGCACCTACATGATCCTTCTGAGGCAGTTGTATCATTTCGCCATCTTATGGGTGGGAAAACTGAAGCAGAGAGAAGTTAAGTAATTGGTTTTCTCACAGTTAAAAGTGTCAGAATCAGAGCTGACCACAAAATATGCAATAGCCCTACCAAGTTTTAACTTTTAAATCTAAGAGACTATTCCCAATAAAGAGGGTAGGCCCCTAGGCCGAGCCGGCAATCAGGGCCATCTGTGGGGCGACCAGCAGGCAGCGCCCCCCCAACCCGGGTTGGGGGCAGCTCCTGCGTTGAGCGTCTGCCCCCTGTGAGGTCAGCGCACGTCATAGCAACCAGGTGTTCTGCCATTCAGTCGATTTGCATATTAGGGTTTTATTTTATCTCTGAAAGAATATGCAAGAACCTGGTCATTGTGGTTTCTCTGGAAAGGGAGTCTAGGACAACTAGAGTCTGGCTTAAGGACTTAGTTTTTACTGTATCCTTTTATATTACTTTGAAATTAACATATACATTGTATTAACTTTAGCATTAAAAAATGAATAAAGACCCACACTACATCAAAATATATCTGGATTTGAAATATATAAATTCCTGGACCCCCTTACCGGAATCAAAACTTCCTAGACTATAACTCAAGGATTTGCATTTCGCCGAGACCGGTTTGGCTCAATGGATAGAGTGTCGGCCTGGGGACTGAAGGGACCTGGGATCCATTCCGGTCAAGGGCATGTACCTTAGCTGCGGGTATATCCCTAGTACAGGGTGTGCAAGAGGCAGCTGATCGATGACTCTCTCTCATCGATGTTTCTAGCTCTCTATCCCTCCCCCTTCCTCTCTGTACAAAATCAATAAAATATATTTTAAAAAAAGGATTTGCATTTCATTCTCCCTAGGTAACTCTGAAGCACAGCCAGGTTAAGGAAGCACTATGTAATAGTGGCAAGTTACCTAGTTTTTATTTTATGACCTATCAAATTTAAATACGAAGTTTCCTCCTGAAATAATGAAAATGGTTGGAAATTAAATAGAAGTGTGAATATATTCAATGTCACTTTAGTGTGAATATATTAAATGTCAGTGTATTTTTTAAAATATATATATATTTTTTTAAAGAGAGGAAGAAAGAAGGATAGAGAGCTAGAAACATTGATGAGAGAGAAACATGGACCAGCTGCCTCCTGCACACCCCCCTCCAGGGATGTGCCCGCAACCAAGGTACATCCTCTTGACCAGAATCAAACCTGGGACCTTTCAGTCCGTAGGACAACGCTCTGACCACTGAGCCAAACCAGTTTCGGCAAGTCAGTGTATTTTTAAATGGTTAGTTTTATGTTATGTGAATTTTACTTTAATTATTAAAAATCCAATTTATATTAAAAAATATATATAAAAAATAAAAAAATAAAAATAAAATAAAATAAAAATGAACCAAAAAAAAAAAAAAAGTCCAATTTATAAACAGTTAAAACAGTTCAGATGCAAACATAACATCTACTCTTTGTCCACATAAACACTTAATTTCCAATAGATTTAAATTGTATCTATTTTTTTAATTCATTTTTGGTATATATATATATATATATATATATATATATATATATATATATATATATATTGATTTGAGAAGAAGGGAGAGGGAGAGATAGAAACATCAATGATGAGAGAGAATCATAATCAGCTGCCTCCTGTATGCTCCCCACTGAGGATCGAGTCTACAACCCAGGCATATGCCCCTAACCAGAATCAAACCTGCGACCCTTCAGTCCACAGGCCAACGTTCTATCCATCGAGCCAAGCCAGCCAGGGCCATTTTTGGTTCTTGAGTTGAGAGACTAACTACAACACTATGAATTCAAAAGTTTTTTTTTAAATCAACTTTCTGACTTTCTGACTGAAATTTGCTTTATTTTCAAAATCAAGTATTCAGCAGTTTGTTCTCAAACTTCTTTATGTACATCTATATAAGCATACACATATATTCAAAATGCGAATGTAGTGAGATTAGCTTTATTTCTTAATATATTTTATTGATATTTTACAGAGAGGAAGAAAGAGAGAGAGCTAGAAACATTGATGAGAGAGAAAACTGATCAGCTGCATCCTGCACACCCCCCACTGGGGATGTGCCTGCAACCAAGGTACATGCCCTTGACCGGAATAGAACCCAGGACCTTTCATTCCACAGGCCAACGCTATATCTACTGAGCCAAACCGGTTTCAGTGAGATTATCTTTTAATCATGTTCTCTAAAGATTCTAAATATTAAATTTCAGTTCTTACCCTCTTCTTCGTGCATCAACCCAGGCCTGATCTCTGTTATCTTTTTCAGGATCATACAGTAACTCATCATTTGTTAGAATCCTGTGTCGTTTCTTCTTTTTTCTCTTGGTCACCTGTGCTAATTTAAAAAATGTTAAGGATATGGCTAAGTATCATATCTAAAGTTCACACTTTTTTTTAATCCTCACCTGAGGATATTTTTCCCACTGATTATTCTAGAGAGTGGAATGGAGAGGGAAAAAGGAGAGGGAGGAAGAGGAAAGGGAAGGAGGAAGAAAAAAAAAAGGAAGGGGAGGGGAGAGGGAGGGGGAGGAAAGGGAGGGGGAGGGAAAGGGTGAAAGGGGGAGGGGGAAGGGGAAAGGGAAGGAGGGGGAGGGGGAGGGGAAGGGAGAAAAGGGGAGGGGGAAGGGAGAATGGAAGGAGGGGTAGGGGGAGAGATAAAGAAAGAGAGGAGAGGGGAGGGGAGGAGGAGAGGGATACATCAATGTGAGAGACACATCAATTGAAAGCCTCCTGCATGCACCTGTACCTGGACTGGGGAACCTGCAACTGAGGTATATTTTTTCTATTTATATATTCTTTTTAAAAAATTTTAACTATTCCTCCAAGTATAGTTCTTGCCCAATTAACAAGGCATTAAAAAGAAGATGACAGCCCTAGATGCTTTGGCTCAGTGGATAGAGCATCAGCCTGCGGACTGAAAGATCCCAGGTTTGATTCTGGCCAAGGGCACATGGCTGGGTTGTGGGCTCAATTTCCAGTGGGGGACATGCAGGAGGCAGCTGATCAATGATTCTCTCTCATCATTGATGTTTCTATCTTTCTATCCCTCTTCCTTCCTCTCTGAAATAAATAAAAGTATATTTTTAAAAAGAAGAAGATGACAGAGGAGGCAAAACTGTTTTTTCACTGAAAACTGGTATCTCAAACTGGTATTTAAATAATGAAAACTCTGAATCCAAAAAGGCTACTCAAAGCAAGGCAAGAATGGAAACTATTTTTGACATCTAAATTCTCTACAAGTTCCCATATATAAAATGCTACTAAAATCATAAAAAAAATTTCAAGTGAATAGAAAAAAAATATGGTCATCTACATACACTAGATTTTTAAAATGTACTTGAACACATCAATATTTAATAATATATAAAATTGTTTCTTTACCAAATAAATTTATTATTTGTGTATTTCAGTGTAGTTACTGATATAGTAAATTAGTTTTGGATCTTGTCAATATGTTCATCTTCACTCAAATTTTATACAAAACCAATTCCAAGAAATAGAGGCTGATTTTTAAAAAATAACAATCCCTAGCTGGTTTGGCTCAGTGGATAGAGCGTTGACCTGCAGACTGAAAGGTTCCAATTGAGGGCACAGGGCCTGGTTGTGGGTTTGATCCCCAGTGTGGGGTGTGCAGGAGGCAGCCAATCAATGATTCTCTCATCATTGATGTTTCTCTCTCCCTCTTCCTTCTTTTCTGAAAGCAATAAAATTATATTTTTTAAAAATCGAGTTAGGGAGAATTCTGCAGGGGAGGTAAAAAAATATAGAAACTATTTACAAGTGTGAAAACAAATGTTGCTGTGCTAGGGAACGTGAAAGACAAGGGGGGCCAAGAGCCCAGAGATGAAACACTCTCCCTCTCCCGAGCTGTGCTGAGGCAGTGCCAGTGTTGGTCCTCAGATGTGTGCATTCCATCTGTTCTTTTTTTTTTCTTGTGGTATACAAGCTTATATATATTTCAAGATGTACAACATTACAGTTCAGTATTTGTACCACATCTGTTCTTATTCATCGATCCTGCTTTTGTTTTCACATCAGCAGCCTGCAATTTCTTTGAAAGAAATCAAACACAGGGAAATCCTAATACAAAATAATTCCTAGATACAAAATCCTAATCGTAATACAAAATAAATCCTAATACAAAATAATTCCTAAAACTTTTCTTCATAAAATATAACTGCTAGACCTGGTAAACATTTTACTTACCGGTTTTGTCTTCATCCTCAGAATCAGAATCAAAATATATATCATCATAGTACTTTGTGGAAGCTGTTCCAACTTTCCCATTTCCTGAAGACGAACCTGTTCAAACCATAAGGAAAGTTTTCAGACTAAATCTTACATAATTGACAAGAAAAAAATATCCATATATCCTTCCATCACTTCAAAGTAATATCAACTCATTCCAATCTCATTTGGATGGAAAAATATTTTCACATCAATGACCTACTAGATTGGTGCCCCATACATTAGAGCGCTGCCCCTCCTGATTAAATATCCCAAATCATGGGATTATTTTTTTTCCTACCTTCCCACAAATCTAATTAAATAGCCTATTTTCAGGTAGCCATCATACATATCTCTACCTTTCAGCCATGCAATATACTGTGGAGAACAGGGGAAAAACATCTTGTTTTGTTTTTGTTTTGTTTTTTTGGGGTTTTTTTAAAATCAATCTTTATTGTTCATATTATTACAAAGGTTCCTCATTTCTTCCCCCCTCCACCAGGTTCCCACCCCACCCTCTGCCCTTTCCCCACCCCGCATTGTCCTCATCCACGGGTGCACAGTTTATGTTCAGTCTCTTCCCGCACCCACCAAACATCCTGTTTTAAAGGCACTTCAGAGGAGAGTAAGAGCTCTACAAAGAGGCAGGGAAATGACTCAAGGACTCATTTGTGCCTAGTGCTATGACATTATCTATACTTATGTCATCATATGCCTGCATCCTAATTCTTTCTCTTAAAATCTGCTTTTGCTTTTATTACTATCATATACACTTTCTTATCAGCTAATACATAGCATATCAACATGGAAATCAAGGGGAGGATCCAAGATAGCTGCTCGGGTAGACATCTAGCCACGGCAGCACACAACAATTTCAATGGAATACAACTAAGATGTAGAGTGGACATTGCCCAGAGCTACAGGTAGTCGACTGACTGAAAATTCTATAGCAAGAAGAAAAGAGAAAACCAGAAGGAAAATAAGAGGAGCTGAAAAAAAAAAAAAAAAACCTAAGGTACGGAGACATGCTGCGCGCCCCACGCCCGCAAGCTTGCTCGGAGAGGTCGCAGCCGGAGAGGAGGAGAGGGCGGGGAGCTGCCTTTCCTTCCCTAGCAGGAAGGAAATAAAACCCCCAGCCTGGGCTGAACCCCCCAACCGGCAGCGCTGAGCCCCCCGAACCGGCAGCGCTGAGCCCCAGTTCTGGGCCAGACCCTGGGGACCCAGGCTCAGACAGAGGGAGACGAGGCTGTGAGGTGGAGTCTGGGGAGAGCGGCGAAAGGCCGGGCCCACGGACTCGCGCACACTGCGCGCAGAGGACAGTCTGTTGACTCTGATGCTGGACTCTCCTAGCGGGAAGGAGAAAAAAAGCTCCGGGCTGGAGGAACACGGCGGGGAGCAGGAGCCCCTGCCGGACACCGGCCAGCCAACTGGGCACCAGCAAGGAGGCGGGCGACGGGGCCCCAGGGGGGGTGGGTGCCCCTGAGCCTTCAACCGCTGAGTGCGGGCAACAGAGCCAAGGCCGGGGGCTGCTTCCTGGGCGGCGCCGACCCCAGCAACAGGCTGAAGCAGCGCAGGAGCCCGCGGAGAACAAAGGGGTGCCACAGGCCAACCTGCTGAGCTCCCAGGACAAGGAGGAAGAAACCAAAGAAGTTCTCAATGTGAAGAAATCAAGTGAGAGCAAAAGATAGTAAAATTACTTAAGAAAGAATACAAAGAAGTTCTTGAAAAATCAAAGACTAAGTCAGAACTCAACTCACCAGCCAACATTGCAACATAAATGCGTTTAAAAAAAAAAAAAAAAAAAGGGACAGAATGTTGGAACAGCGGCGGCCAGGCCTAGAGTGGCCAGGCACAAGGCAGTGGCATCCAGGCCCGGAGCAGCAACGGCCAGGCCCCAGAACAACAGCAGCCAGAACCAGAGCATCAACAGCCAGCACTGGAGTAGCCAGACCTGGGGCAGTGGCAGCCAGGCCTGAGGCGGAGGCGGCCAGTCCAGGAACAACCAGACCCGGAGTAGACGGGCCCAGAGAGGCCGGGCCCAGAGCAGCCGGGGTGGGAGCAGCCAGACCCAGAACAGCAGTAGCCAAGCCCAGAGCATCCAGGCTGGGAGTGCCCAGGCTCGGAGCGGCCGGGCCTGGGGCAGCCGAGCCCAGAGCAGCCGGGTCGGGTGCGGCCAGGCCCGAAGCAGCGGCTGCCAGGCTGGGAGCGGCCAGGCCCGGAGCAGCGGCAGCCAGGCTGGGAGCGGCCAGGCCCAGAGCAGCCGGGTCGGGTGTGGCCAGTCCCGGAGCAGCGCCTGCAGGCTGGGAGCGACCAGGCCCAGAGCAGCAGCAGCCAAGTCCAGAGCAACTAGGTCAGGAGCGGCAGTGACCAGACCCAGAGCAGCTGGTTGTGGAACGAACCAGAGCAACAGAGGCCAGGCACTGAGCAGCCAGGCCCGGAACAGCTCGCTCCTCGCTTGCCCCTGCCCCACGGCTGCTTCTCAGACATAGCTGGAAACTTTCGGGAGAACTTGAGGGTCTGCTGAATCAAGTGATGAAGGCTTAGATCTGGATGTGTTGAGTTAGTATAGGGCTGGGGTGTTGATCTGTGAGTGCCTTGGGTGGGGCCTGGATGAGGCTGGTGGACCTATTGGGAAATGTCTTTTGTGTGAAGTGTATCATTGGGCATGTGGAGGTATTATTGATATGAGAAAATGCTAAGTAACTGATTTACTATCTGAAAAGGGATTTACTATCGGAGAAAGGGAGGGAAGAAGAGACTGAACATAAACTGTGCACCTATGGATGAGGACTATGGGGGATGGGGAGGGGGGGAGGGTGGGGTGGGAACCTGGTGGAGGGGGGAAGAAATGAGGAACCTTTGTAATAATATGAATAAAGATTGATTTAAAAGAAAAAAAAAAAAAAAAAACATGGAAATCAATGCTGAGGAGTCCTACTATCACAAATCAGTGTTTGAGTCAGATATCGTTTACATATGAAAACAAAGTGTTTCATCCTATATAATAAAAGGCTAATATGCAAATTGACCAAACAGCAGAACAACCAATCACTATGACATGCACTGACCACCAGAGGGCAGATGCTCATTGCAGGAGCTGCCCCCTAGTGGTCAGTGTAACAGGGGGAGCGCCGCTCAGCCAGAAGCTGGGCTCATGGCCGGCTAGCACAGCAGTGGTGGTGGGAGTGCTAAGAATGTCCGACTGATGGCTTAGACCCACTCCCTATGAGGGCATCCCCTAAGGGCTCCTGGACTGCAAGAGGGTACAGTCTGGGCTGAGGGACCCCCCCTATCCAAGTGCATGAATTTCGTGCACCAGGCCTCTAGTTACTTAATAAAATAAGATAGAAATTGGTGCTGACACATCATTTAACCTGCCATGTCAGTGCTATATAACCCTAAATATGCTTCTATAAACCTGCTTATTTTTTTCTCCAGGGTAAAAATTACAAAAAGAGAGGAGAATCCAAGATGGCTGCTTGGGTAGGCACCTAGCCGCAGCCGCATGCAACAATTTCAATAAAATACAACTAAAATATAAAATGGACATTACCCAGAACTACAGGAAAGTCGACTGAATGGAAATTCGACAACAAGAAGCAAGGAGGAAACCAGAAGGAAGAACAGAGGAGCTGTAAAAGCTCAAGGTACGGAGACGCGGCGCACGGAGAGGACGGAGCCAGAGAGGAGGGAGGCCGAGTGCCTGGCTGGCATTCCCTAGGGGGAAGGAGATAAAACTCCGACTGTGCTGGGCCCCCAACTGCTCTGAACCTCAGGCCTAGGCCAGACCCCGGGGACCCAGGCTCACACAGAGGGAGCCGGGCTGAAAGGCGGAACCCCAGGGAAGAGGCGAACGGAGGTCCCAGCGGCGCCGCGCAGAGAAGAGACGGCCGGCTGTGCTGCGGGATTGCCCTGGCCGGAAGGAGACAGGGGCTCCAGTCTGCGCTGAACACCACCTCCAACTCCACTTCCAACTGAACTGAACCCCAGTTTCGGGCCCATTGGGGAAGAGACTAGACTGTTTGGCAGCAGGCGAAAATCGAGGGCGCCTTTCTCTCAGAGGCGCTTGCAAGGATACTGAAGGACCCTGAGTCTCAGGAGTCGCATAGGGCGGGGCTGACGAAAGCCAAAGCTGTAGGCTCCACCCTGAAACCCCGCCCCATCAGGAAAGCTGCCTGCGAAAATGCCTAAACCAAATAGATCACAAACGAAAGAAATGGAGGACAAAAAGCGACTGGATATAGAGTTCAAAACCACACTTATAAGATTTTTCAAGAGTTTCCTAGAAAAGGCCGATAAAATAAATGAGACTTATGAGGATATGAAAAGGGATCAACAAGAAATAAAGAATACATTGTCTGAAATAAAAAATATTATATAGAGTCCTAAAAACAGAATAGAAAACCGCAAGAATCAAGTCAAAGATCTGGAACATAAAGAGCCAGAAGACACTCCTCTGCAGAAGCTAGAAGGCAAGAGAATCCAGAAAATTGAAGATGATGTAAGAAACCTCTGGGACAACTTCAAACGATCCAACATCAGAATTATGGGGGTCCCAGAAGATGAGAGAGAGCAAGATATCAAAAACATACTGAAAGAAATAGTGACAGGAAACTTCCCCCACCTGGGGAAAGAATTGGACTTACAAGTCCAGGAAGCACACAGAACTCCAAATAAAAGGAATCCAAAGAGGACCACACCAAGACAAATCATAATTAAGATTCCAAGAGCAAAAGACAAAGAGAGAATATTAAAAGCAGCAAGAGCTAAGCAGATAGTCACCTATAAAGGAGCACCTATACGACTGTCAGCTGATTTCTCAACAGAAACCATGCAGGCCAGACGGGAATGGCAAGAAATATTCAAGATGATGAATAGTAAGAACCTACAGCCAAAGATAATCTATCCAGCAAAGCTATCACTCAGATTCGAAGGTCAGATAAAGAGCTTCACTAATAAAAAAAAGCTAAAGGAGTTCATCACCGCCAAACCATAATTATATGAATTGCTGAAAGGGGTTCTTTAGGAAGAGGAAGAAGATATAGATAAAAATTATGATCAACAAATACGTAACTATCAACAAGTGAATCTAAAAACCAAGGAAATTTTAAAAAAATCTGAGGAACAATATTAACTGTTGAATATAATAGAATCAGAGGTATGGAAGGGGAGTGAACTGATTATTCTTGGGGAAAAGGGGAGAGGGGGATGTGGGAAGAGACTGAACATAAACTGTGCACCTATGGATGAGGATAATGGGGGGTTGGGAAAGGGCAGAGTGGGGGGAAGGAACATTTGTAATAATATGAATAAAAATTTATTTTTAAAAAATAAATAAATAAATAAAATTGCAAAAAGAAATCATGCAAATAAACAGTATTAAATAATCTCTTTCCAATAACACAGAAAACTCTTCACTAGTCATCAAAGAAAACTATGCTCAGGTTGCCCAACACTTTATTCATTTACTCAATAAATACTGACTGAGTTGCCCTGGTCCACGTGGCTCAGCTAGCTGGGCATCATCCCAGGCACCAAGAGGTTGCTGGTTAGATTTCCAGTCAGGGCACATGCATGGGTTTTGGGCTCAATCCTGGGAGGGGGCATGCAGGAGGCAGCCAACCAATGTTTCCCTCTCATTGATGTTTCTCTCTCTCTCTCTTTCCTCCTCCTCCTCTCCCTCCTCCCCCTCTCCCCTTCTCCCCCTTCCTCACTCATATATATATATATATATATGTGTGTGTGTGTGTGTGTGTATGTATGTATATATGTATATATATATGTGTGTGTGTGTGTGTGTGTGTATATATATATATATATATATATATATATATATATATATATATAAATCAAGCCCTAGCTGGTTTGCCTCAGTGGATAGAGCATCAGACTGCAGACTGAAGGGTCCCAGGTTCAATTCCAGTCAAGGGCACATGCCCAGGATGCAGGCTTGATCCCCAGTAGAGGGCGTGCAAGAGGCAGCCAATCAATGATTCTCTCTAAATCACTGATGTTTCTATCGCTCTCTCTCTCTCTCTGAAATTAATAAAAATATTTTTTAAAAATCAGTAAGAATTCGCCAAAACCGGTTTGGCTCAATGGATAGAGCGTCGACTTGGGGACTGAAGGGACGACCCAGGTTCGATTCTGGTAAAGGGCATGTACCTTGGTTGCGGGCATATCTCCAGTAGGGGGTGTGCAAGAGGCAGCTGATCGATGACTCTCTCTCATCGATGTTTCTAACTATCTCTCTCCCTTCCTCTCTGTATAAAATCAATAAAATATATTTAATAAATACAAAATCAATAAAATACATTTTTTTTTAAAAATCAGTACGAATTTTTTCGGAAGTTCAGCTTATCTCCGGTTTAGCTGATAAGTGGATGGAGCGTCTGCCTGTGGATTGAAGGGTCCCATGTTCAATTCCGGTCAAGGACATATCCCCAGTGGGGGTTGCGCAAGAGGCAGCTGGTCGATGTTTCTGTCTCATTGATGTTTCTGGCTCTCTATCCCTCTTCCTTTCTGTAAAAACTCAATTTTTTTTTTAAAAAAAATTCAGCTTATCCATTCATATATACATATATATACATATATACACATATATATACATATATATACATATATATACATATATATAAGTATATATATGTATATATATGGTACTTATTTATTTACTTACTTATTTACTGAGTACCTACTGAAGGTTCTGGGGACAGAAAAGAACACAAACAAGGTTCTTGCCCATATGGAGCTTGGAAAAATATCTTTAGGGAAATCTAACTAAAAATTTTACCTGTTTCCAGGGAGGATAATTTGACCTCCATTGTTTTTATGGTAGAATTTAATTCAGCTTCCATTTCTTTTTCAAATTCATCTTCACTAGATTCACTTTCTCCAGTAAGACATTCTCTGATGAGTTTTCGTTTTTGGTCAGGAGTTCCATGTAAAAGCACATCCACTTCATCTTCAGAACTAATATAAATTTAAATCATAAAAAGTATAAATATTAAAGAATTAAAATAACTTACAACTCCCACCATCTCACTGCCCAACAAGTTTAAGTGTTTAAGGTTGCATTTATCTGGCATATTACATAGAGCTATTTTCACTTAATAGATCAACCATTTTTGCATATTTCCAAGTATATTTTTTAATGTTAACATAACACTTCCTCTTGTAAAAGTTGTACATTTATTTCTAGTTCTTTGTTATTGAACTCTAGAATGCACATCTTTGTATATATAACTTTATTTCCTTAGGATGAATGTCTAAAATTAGATACTGCCAGAAGCCAGTTCCAGCATGTCAGCAGGGCTGTCATCTGGGATGGCTGAAAGGCATTTCCCCAAATCTGAAAAGGATGATTGCTCGCAGCCAGACAGTTCAGGGCATCTTAATCTACATGTTATTGCCTCCTACTGGCCAAACACCTGAACAGCAAAGGCAATTCCCCAATCTGACAATGGATTTGTGTACAAACCCTGGCCTTTGATGTGTATATCTCTGCCTTGCCTTAGGACAAATTGTGTTAATAAAAAGCAAGGGGTACTGAGACAAGGAGAACTTAGTTCCTTTAGCTAAATCCTCTCTAACTCTCCCCAACATACCTTTCAAAATTATGTTTCATCTCTGGGCTATTTAATTTACACACAGCCCCTTCTCCAGATTCCTGAACCCTTCTAGATGCTGGAACAAGACCACCAGCGAGATACAAACATCTTTCTGACTTCTTTGATTACCACACCGCTTTCCAGAGGATTGCACCAATTCTAATTTTATCAGCAATGAAAAGTTTACTCCACCGTTTTGTTTTGTGTTTTTTTGTTTTGTTTTTAATATATTTTATTGACTTTTTTACAAAGAAGGGAAAGGGATAGAGAGCTAGAAACATTGATGAGAGAGAGACATCAACCAGCTGCCTCCTGCACACCCCCTACTGGGGATGTGCCCGCAACCAACGTACATGCCCTTGACTGGAATCGAACCTGGGACCTTTCAGTCGGCAGGCTGACACTCTATCCACTGAGTCAAACCAGTTTTGGCTACTCCACCATTTTTTAAAACTCAGGACATTTAAATTAAACCTAAAATGCCCATCCAATGTAGCTCAGTGGTTGAGTGTCATCCTAGGAATCAGGGGGTCACATTTCAATTCCAAGTCATGCCACATGCCCGGGTTTCTGGGCTGGTCCCTAGTATGGTGCATGCAGGAAGCAGCCGATCAATGATTCTCTCTTGTCATTGATATTTCTCTCTCCCTCTCCCTTCCTCTCTGAAATCAATAAAAATATATTTTTTAATTAATCTTAAAATATGTAATATATCTCTAATATCTATAATACATAAAATATTAACCGTTACAATTTAAAAGGCACAATGCTGTCAAAACCGGTTTGGCTCAGTGGATGGAGCGTCGGTCTGCAGACTGAGGGGTCCCGGATTCAATTCCAGTCAAGGACATGTACATTGGTTGCCGGCACATCCCCAATAGCGGGTGTGCAGGAGGCAGGTCGATGTTTCTCTCTCATTGATGTTTCTAGCTCTCTCTCTTTCCTCTCTGAAATCAATAAAAGTACATTTAAAAATAAAAATAAATAAAAGGCAGTGCTGCCTGGCTGGTGTTGCTCAGTGGTTGAGCGTCAACCTATGAACCAGGAGGTCAGGGTTCATTTCTCAGTCAGGGTTCGATCTCCATTGTGGAGTGTACAGAAGGCAACCAATCAATGGTTATCTCTCATCATTGATGTTTCTATCTCTCTCTCTTTCCTCTCTGAAATCAATAAAAGTACATTTAAAAATAAAAATTAAAAAGGCACAGTGCTGCAGAGAACTATAAAGAGAGATAAAACTAAATTATATCCCAAGTTCTCCTGAGCAATTTCTGCCAATTTACTTGGCCTTCTGTGCCTGTGTTTCCCCACCAATAGGAATGGGACAAAATTAAACCAAATAATATCTGAAATGCCCAAAACAGTTCTAATACAGTCAACAGTACATAAATAATGCTCAGTTATTCATGATCTGAAAACTCACAGACTATTCTTGGATTTTGGTTTTCTATTTTTGTCTTCTAAACAATGCTTTTGATCCTCTAGCAGAAAGTAAATCAGAAAAATCCAATTCACGCCAAAGTCGGTTTGGTTCAGCGGTAGAGCATCAGTCTGCAGACTGAAGGGTCCCGAGTTCAATTCCGGTCAAGGGCATGTACGTTGGTTGCGGGCACATCCCCAGTAGGGGGTGTGCAAGAGGCAGCTGGTCGATGTTTCTCTCTCATCGATGTTTCTGACTCTCTATCCCTCTCTCTTCCTCTCTGTAAAAAAAAAATCAATAAAATATATATTTTTTTAAAAAAATAAAGAAAAAGAAAAAGCCTATTCACAACAATCAATTTTAAACCAAGATGTCAATATCTGACCCAAGAGGTCAATGCTGCCAAGATTGAGAAATCCTGATCTATTCTATATTCAAGTGTTTCCAAAGTGTGGAACATAGATTATTTTAATGAGTAGCAGAATAGATGATGATCCATTAGAGAAACTAAAGCCATTGCTAGCAGGAATGTAAAATGGTACAACCACTATGGAAAACCGTGTGACAGTTTCTTATAAAATTAAACATACAATTACCATACAACTCAGCAATTGAACTCCTGGGCATTTATCCCAGAAAAGTGAAAATGTATATGCACGCAAAAGCCTATACATGGCCCTAGCCAGTTTGGATCAGTGGATAGAGCATTGGCCTGTGGACTGAAGGGCGCCTGGTTCGATTCCAGACCAGGAGCCACCAACCGCGGTCAGGGGCATGCAGGAGGCAACCAATCAATGTGTCTCTCTCATCAGTGTTCCCTCTGTCTCTCCCTTCCACTCTCTCTGAAAATCAATGGGAAAAAATGTCCTCAGGTGAGGTTTAAAAAAAGCAAACACCTATACATGAATGTTTATACCAGTTTTATTTACAATAGTCTAAACTTGAAAGATGTCCTTCAACAAGTTAATGGTTAAATGAGGAATATTACTCAGCAATAAAAAATAAATGAACTATTAATACCTAAAAAAGTGGGGGTGAATCTCCAGAGAACTATGCTGAGTGAAAAAAGCCAATCCCACAAAGTTACATACACAGAATTCCACTTACATGTTTTTTTAAAAGGACAAAAGTATAAAAATGGAGGACAGACTAGCAGTTACCAGAGGTTAAGTGGGGCCAGGGGAGTGGGAAGTGGGGAATATGAACGATGGAAATGTTCTGCAACCTGACTGTATTCATGTCAATATCCCAGTTATGAGATTGTACTAGTTTTGCAATATGTGAACATTGGAGGAAACTGAGTAAAGGGGACACTGTCTCTCTGTATTATTTCTTTTTTCTTTTTTTTTTCTTTTTTAATATATATTTTATTGATTTTCCACAGAGAGGAAGAGAGAGGGATAGAGAGTTAGAAACATCGATCAGCTGCCTCCTGCACACCCCCCACTAGGAATGTGCCCGCAACCGAGGTACATGCCCTTGGCCGGAATTGAACTTGGGACCCCTCAGTCCACAGGCTGACGCTCTATCCACTGAGCCAAACTGGTTTTGGCTCTGTATTATTTCTTACAATGACATGTGACTCTATTTGTAAGAACAGAATGTTTAATTTAAAAAATTAAAACCCGCCGAAACCGGTTTGGCTCAGTGGTAGAGCGTCGGTCTGCGGACTGAAAGGTCCCAGGTTCGATTCCGGTCAAGGGCATGTACCTGAGTTGCGGGCACATCCCCAATAGGGAGTGTGCAAGAGGCGGCTGGTCGATGTTTCTCTCTCATAGATGTTTCTAACTCTATACCTTTCTCTTCCTCTCTGTAAAAAAATCAATAAAATATATTTTTTAAAAATAATAAAAAATAAAAAAATTAAAATTAAAACCCAAGGCAGGAGTGTTATTCTTTTTGCAAATTTTCTTCAATCTTTGTGATTATTTCAAAAGTCTCCGCATTTAGCACTGCTAGTCAAGGCAATCTGTCATGAGCCCTGCATATTCTTGTTGAGTATGCCAAGAATGCAAGGTTCACAAAACTCTTTACCTAGGCCATTTTTCAGGGTTGTTTGCAGGAAAAGAAAAAGAAGGAAAAAAAAAACACCAAACTTGATGGATGAGGTGATGTCCCTTCCCAGGACAAAGAACGGGCTTATTTACTGCCTGCTGTAAAAGAGGTAAGATTCCAAGCTCAGGTGGTCCTCAGCCAGGATAGCAATTCACTGCATGTTAGCATCCATCTTGGTCTCTTTGCATAACTTCTGTGGAAGTTAGGAAGAGCAACCAATACCAACATAATGTTCATGCTGCCTGCTATGCTGTGAGTTTTCTGTAACCCAGGAGTCTCAGGTCCTCTGCCAGCTTCCACAAAACAGGGACATGCTATAAAATGTTATCTTATAAAGAGGAGTAAAATCAAATCCTGACACCTCTCTAACACAATCTCCCTTTCTAAAACAAGCACCGGATTCAGAGCCTCAAGCAGGTAATACTGCCTTAAAGCATCGTTTTGTTTTCATAGTATTTCTTTTTTTCACTACTTTACAATTAACAACTGTCAGGATTATAAGCTTTCTTTAAGATATTTAACTACAAAAGTGTAAAGTGACTTAAAGAAAAGTGTTAAATAAGTAACACAAGTGAATATGGAGATGGCAAGAGCAGAACAACTCAAATCCAGGAAACACTCCTCTATTCCAATCAAACTGAATTACTAACTGAAGCCTATCTATACCTCCTTTCACAGACCTGACCCTGTAAGTGACAGGGCAGCCTGGAATCCATCCTCATTCCCCACAACAGAAACCTTCACAACAGCCTGATCGCCCATGCCCAGGACCCCTCCCCAGGATAATGGAAGGAAGCACTGTGATTCCAAGTGGGACAGTTTTACAGAAAGCTCAACCGGTTTGGCTCAGTGGATAGAGCGTTAGCCTGTGGATTGAAAGGTCCCGGGTTCGATTCCGGGCAAGGGCATGTACCTTGGTTGCAGGCACATCCCCAGTGGGGGGGGTGCAAGAGGCAGCTGATTGATGATTCTCTCTCATTGATGTTTCTAACTCTCTATCCCTCTCTCTTCCTCTCTGTAAAAAATCAATAAAATATATTTTTTAAAAATAATAAAAAAAAAGAAAGCTCAATCCGACAAAATGTCTTAAAGTTATAAATAGGATCTGCTGACAGCTCTAAAATGGCTTAAATTTGCCTGGAAATCTATTGCCAACAAAACTGCAAGGTTCCCTCAGGTAGGATTACATCCTTCCTTTTGGAAATTCCCACGAAAACTTCGCCGGTGCCCAGCTAAGATCGTTTTCTACAATGCTCTTCAGAGATGCATGCTTATTTCCAAGATATATACCTTCCAAGGTATGCATATTATTTCCCCTACTATGCTGCAAACCTGTAAAAGGCAAAAACCTCATGACCGATCTCTGTAGCCCAGAGCAAGCACATTAACAGGTGCTCAAAAAAAAACCAAAAAAAAAAAAACCTGTTCAATATCCTCTTATTTCTGTGTATGGCGTATTAGCCTTCTAGCTGTTCACTTCACATTTGACACGAGCCTTACAACATACTTAGGATGTAGCTATCACAGTCCCTTTTGGCAGATGAGAAACCGAGGAGAAGCGACTTGCCTTAGGTCACACTGCTAGTGAGCTGCAGAGGCAGGACTCGATCACTCGGCTTTTGGAGACTTACGCGTGATTCCAGAACAGCCCCTTCCCCGCGTCCGTTCGGCCCCGCCTCCCCCCGTGGCTGCGAGACCTCAGCAGACCCCCCCCACAGGCGACAGCGGGGCGCGACCGGGCCCGAGCCGCTGGGCCGAGGGTCCGCACAGGCCGGCGGCCGGGGCAGCGCAGGGAGGAGGCTCCGGCCAGGCCGCAGCCGAGGCCGCGGGCCGGGGCGGAGCGGGGGCCGGGGCGGAGCGGGGCCCACCTGCTCAGAGCTGGCTCCTCATCGCTAGGCTCTTCAACCGCGTAGGAGTCATACTCATCCTGGAGCCGGTTCATGTCGGCCTCCGCACTCCTCACCGTCCGAAGACGGCCGCAGAGTACGTTTCCTCCGGGCCCCCTTCACTGGCGGCGCGCACTCCACTTCCGCCCGCACTTCCGGCCCGCCCCCCCGCGCCTGCGCAGATTGTCCCAGCGGGGGGGGTGTATCCGGTCACTTCCGGCCGCCGCCTCTGCTGACCCGGAGGCAGCTACCTTATCGCCGGATATAATAGTCCTCGTCCTGCCGAACTTCATTTCGTGACGTGAAAAGCAGAAATCTAGGTGCAGAGGGACCTGCAGCCTGTAGGTCCTCGGACACTGGAACCGCCGTTCCTCCAATGTCCCCGCCTCCAGCCGCTCTCCTCCTTTTCGCTGCGCCGCCGCCTCGCCGGCAGCATTCACTCCTCACTCAGGCGGCGGCCCCGACTTCCTACGGAGAAGTCGATAGACTGTCACCCGTTACTTCCCAATTGTCTTTTTGGGACTCTTCTCAGTCCCAGCCTTTGCTCAGCCCTTATCCACTCCATGCTTGAGCTGAGGCAGGCAGGTGTCTTGATTGTGACACCTTTTCTCCCGTCTCTGTGCCAGCCTATTCTCAAGTTCCTTCCGGACCACTCTCCCGTCTTCAAAATCCCATTCACATCACTATCCCCTCTTATTTGGATCCTTGCCCTCTCCTCCAAGCACTACGTCGGATTTCCAGTTGCCTGGCTAGGTATCTCCGTCTGCTGCACTCCTGCCAATTCAAAGTCGATTTAGCTCAAATCCAACTCAACATGTTCCATCCCATTCCTATTCTTTAGCCATAACTACTTTTTTTAATTACTCTATTGATTAAGGTATCACATATTTGTTCTCATTCCCACCCCCCATTGCCATCCCAAACCCCTCCCACACATGCCCTCATCCCCCTGTTGTAACCATGACCACTGGTTACGCTCATATGCATGCACACAAGTCCTTTGGTTTGTTCTCTCTCCCTTATCCCCACCCTCCCCCCCTACCTTCCCTCTGAGGTCCAACAGTCTGATCGATGCTGTTCTTGATCATCAGTCTTTGTTGTTCACAATTTCCCCTAGATGAGTGAGCTCATGTGATACTAGAAATACACTTATAAGAACTGAAAATGAGACAAGCCATAATGGTTATGCTGAAAGGCAAATGAATCAGTCTGTAATGAGTTTCTTTCTGGGCTAACTTCTTTTTTTTCCTTTTTCTTTTTTCTTTTTCTTTTTTTTTAAATATATTTTATTGGCCAAGATTGGTTTGACTCAGTGGATAGAGCATCAGCCTGTGGACTCAAGGGTCCCAGGTTCGATTCTGGTCAAGGTCATGTGCCTTGGTTGTGGGCACTTCCCTGGTGGGGGTGTGCAGGAGGCGGCTGGTTGATGTTTCTCTCTCGTTGGTGTTACTAGCTCTCTATCCCTCTCCTTTCCTCTCTGTAGAAAAGCAATAAAATATATTTTATATACATATATATATTATTAATTTTTTACAGAGAAGAAGGGAGAGGGATAGAAAGTTAGAAACATCAATGAGAGAGAGACATCATCAATCAGCTGCCTCTTGCACAACCCCTACTGGGGATGTGCCCGCAACCAAGATACATGCCCTTGATTGGAATCGAACCTGGGACCTTTCAGTCTGCAGGCCGACGCTCTATCCACTGAGCCAAACCGGTTTCGGCCCAACAGTTCTTTCGAGTTTCAATTTCTATGTCAAACAGTTCCTTATGTGTACATGTCAGCAATGATATTTCAGTTCTGGATGGTGAACAAATGGTGGTGATGCAGGTCAGACCCTCTCTGGTTTGATCCTGGGCAACCTGCAGTGACACACAGCTGCTGACTGCTAGTATGGCAAGGCGACATCAGTGTCTTCCATCTCTGGACTGTTTCTCTTCTGTCTTCATGGCTGGAGCATTCCGGTCAATTCCTCTCTATTTCAGGAATCCACATAGTCTTGGAGTTGTTTTCTGAAAATGTACAAACATATTCTCAACCAAAAGTTAATAAAGGAATCTTTTCTATAAAACTGACTTGTGATCCTTTTTCTTTTTTTGCCCAAACGATTTTTCTTTGGCTTGTTTTGACATGTGGAGCTCCAGTTGCACAATTGGTTATTGAGCGGTACTTATAACCATGTTTTTTATTATTATTTGATTGATTTTAGGGAGAGAGAGAGAAACATCTATTTGTTGCTTCACTTATTCATTCATTGGTTGATTTCTTGTATACGTCGTGACCGGGATCGAACCCACCACCTGTAAAGAAAAAGCTAAAGGAGTTCATCACCACCAAATCAAGATTACATGAAATGCTGAAGGGTATTCCTTTAGAAGAGGAAGAAGAAGAAAAAGGTAAAGGTAAAAATTATGAACAACAAAACGACATCAAATACATACCTACCAACAAGTGAATCTAAAAATCAAGTGAATAAAAAATCTGAAGAACAGAATGGACTGATGAATATAATAGAATCAGGGATATAGAAAGGGAGTGGACTGACAATTCTCAGGGAGAAGGGGAACTGAGGGGTGCGGGAAGAGATTGGACAAAAATCTTACACCTATGGCCAAACCGGTTTGGCTCAGTGGATTGAGCATCAGCCTGCGGACTGAAGGATCCTAGGTTCAGTTCCGGTCAAGGGCATGTGCCTTGGTTGCGGACACATCCCCAATTGGGGGTGTGCAGGAGGCAGCTGGTCAATGTTTCTCTCTCATTGGAGTTTCTGGCTCTCTATCCCTCTCTCTTCCTCTCTATAAAAAAAATCAATAAAATATATTTAAAAAATAATAATTCTCTATGATCATTGGTGTTCTATCTCCCGCTGTCTCTGAAATCAATTTATACGTATAGATAGTTCTATGTATCTATTATCTATCATTTTATTTTATTTTTTAAATATATTTTATTGATTTTGTACAGAGAGGAAGGGAGAGAGTTAGAAACATCGATGAGAGAGTCATCGATCAGCTGCCTCTTGCACACCCCCTACTGGGGATCTGCCTGCAACCAAGATACATGCCCTTGACCAGAATCCAACCTGGGACCCTTCAGTCCCCAAGCCAACGCTCTATCCATTGAGCCAAACCGGTCTCGGCTATTATCTATCATTTTAAAAAGAGCTAAGAGCCTTGGCTGCAGGTGACTAATACAATGAGCAGCCTCTGCAGAACAGAACTTTCAGAACCCCTCATCTCCAACCTGCACTTTAGGGGAAACCCACCAACCCACTGTCAGGCATTATCTGCTTTGGGATTGCCAAGGTCTGTTAAAAATTTACACCTAGAGGATGAAGAACCGATAAGAATGTGAAATTAGTTGAACAGCCAGGAGAGAGGTGAAGAGATTCCAATCAGACAAATTAAACTCCCTGCAACTACTTGCCTAAAAAAATCGTTCCTATTAGTACAGGAAAACCACTAAGTCAAAAACAAGGCTAAAACCATTGTTTCTTTTTTTGTAACCAAGAAGACCAGGGGAGAGCGCGAACGCAGTCCCCCACTACCACAAATTATGCAGTCGAGTTTCCCACATTTGGGGAAATCGCAGGGGTCAGCACATCCGGAGTGCAATGGATAAGCCTCGCCCTGGGAAAACCACCTTCGTGATCATGGTGTCTCCCCTGCCAGGTAAGTATGAGTTGCACACCCCGCCTCCTCCCTCACCCACAGCCACCACTCACTCTGCACACACGGTCACTCCGCTCCGCACGCCCCTGCGCCCCCGCCGCCCCAGGACCCGAGCGCCCACCGCGCCCGTCGCCACAGCAACCCCGGGGGCGCTGCCACCTTCGGGTGCGGGGACGTGGGGGCGCAGGCTGCGTGGCCCGGCAGCCCCTGCGCTGCTGCTCATCTGCATACGCCACGCCCCCGGCCTGACAGCCCGGCACCCGGTCTCCAGGTTCCCATCCGGCCCTGCGCGCTGCTGGCCGCGAGGGGACGAGGGCCCGACCCGGGAGGGGCCCGGGCTCGCCGCCCCCGCCGCCCGCAGCTGTCACGGCCCCCACCCCCAGGCCGGGCTCGCTCTCCCTTCCGTCCCCGGAACCGCACGCACCCGTGTCCGCTCCCCTTGGGGCCCAGAAGCGGCGCCCCCGCGGCCGCTCGCTCAGACGGAGGCCCCGCCGGGCCGCGGGCCGGGAACGGGGGCGGGAGAGCGGCCGCGGTCCGTCCGGGGGGGACACGCGGGCCGGGCGGGCGCGTCTGGGAAACGGACGGACAGAAACGGCCCCTCGGCCCGCGGGGTTCGGGCCGCTCGCAGACCGCACAGGTTCCTCTCCCTCTGGTCAGAGGGTCCTTTCTAGCCCCAACCGGTTTGGCTCAGTGGTAGAGCGTCGACCTGTGGACTGAAGGGTCCCAGGTTCAATTCCAGTCAAGGGCATGTACCTGGGTTGCGGGCATGTCCCCAATAAGTTGCAAGAGGCAGCTGATCAATGATTCTCTCTCATGGATGTTTCTAACTATCCCTTTCCTTTCTGTAGAAATATTTTTTTTTAAAGGGGTGGGGGGGAAAGAAGGGTCCTTCCTGAGGCTAACTGTGTGCGGCCCTGAGGGGTCGGCGCCATGGAGCAAAGCCAGGCAGGCGGTCAGGCTGCAGATGACAGGGTGAGGGAGGGTCCAGCTGCGACGAAGGGAAGAAACTACTGCAGCATGTACTAGTAGTAATAGTAGTTGTTAATCCTCACCCCAGAATATTTATTGGGAGATTGATAGAGGGGGAGGGACAGAAACAGAGAAAGGAAGAGCGAGAGAGAAACAGCGATGTGAGAGTGACACGACGATTGGTATTTCTTGCCAAAAAGTGCACAACCCCAATAATTAGACAAACCTAAATTAAGGGGCATCCGGTAGGCCTGTGATTCCAAGTGTCCAATAGTATATGATGCAAAGACCCAAGAACTTTTCCAGATTAAAGAAGTCTAAAGAAACGTGCCCGGAGTGCAACACGTTATTTTGAATTTCCTTTCTAAATTAAGGACATTCCTGGCACAACTTGTGGAATATGAATAAAGGCCTG